CTGCCGGGTGTAACTGTATTTCTAGACGACATAAAAATCACAGCGATCAATGATGAAACACATCTACAACGCATTGAAGATGTTTTACGCAGGTTAAATGAGCACAATATGCGCATCAATCTGAAGAAGTCAGACTTCTTGCGAGACCGAATGGAATATTGCGGCTACGAAATCGATAAAACCGGCATTCGCAAGTTACGTAACAAAGTTCTTGCGATACAGAATATGAAACCACCGACTACAAAGGATGAATTACGTGCAGTTTTAGGTCTGATAAACTATTACGGGCGGTTCGTTCAAAATTTAGGCGATATTGTTTACCCACTGAATATGCTGTTACGTCAAAACGTGCCATTTAAATTTACTGCCAGATGCGTTGAAGCCTTCGAAAAAATAAAAACTTTGATACAGTCGGATACTATCCTAACACATTACAACCCAAAGCTACCCTTGGTATTGGCAGTGGATGCAAGCCCTACCGGGGTTGGTGCAATTCTAAGCCACACGTTCGCAGATGGCAGCGAAAGGTCAATACAATTTTCTTCGCAAACGTTAAATGCAGTACAGCAAAAGTATAGTCAAGTAGACAGAGAGGCATATGCTGTAATTTTCGGCGTAAAGAGGTTTTTTCAATAATTTTTTGGTACAAAATTCACGTTAGTGACTGACAACAAGGCGATTGCCCAAATTTTCTCACCACAAAAAGGCTTACCGACGTTATCAGCTACGCGTATGCAGCACTACGCAATATACTTAGAAGCTTTTAATTATGACGTACGAGTTAAGAAAAGCCAAGAGAACGCGAATGCTGATGTATTGTTGCGATTGCCTTCTTCAGACACGTACCCAGCTATTGAAGAAGTTGACGTGGTCGAGATGGAGTTCATCCAGAATTTACCAGTGAAAATCGATTGTTTGTCCGAAGCCTCAAGCAAGGATACGGAGGTTGCTAATTTACTCGGATGTTTGAAATACGGAAGATTTTGCGAACCAAAAGACAGATTCAGTATACCAAAAGCTGAATTCACCTTACAAAAAGGATGTCTGCTTCATGGCATTCGTGTCTACATACCTAAAAAGCTACGCGACAGGGTTTTGGAGGAAGAACACTTTGGTATGGCGAAAATGAAAATGCTTGCACGCGCCTATTGCTGAGGGCAACATATCGACGATGACATAGAAAAGCTAATTTCAGACTGCGCAGCCTGCCAAAGTACGAGACCTA